GGGGCTGGGCCAGGCTAAAGCCAGGAGCTTCTTCCAGGTCCTCTATTTGAGTTCAGGGGTCCAAGCACTTGGGCACGCTCTGCTGCTTTTTCAGGCACAATAGCAAGGAGCTGAAGCAGAAGTGGAATATCCAAGAACCTGCACCCAATATGAGATGCCAACATCACAGACAGCTTAAACTGGAATACCACAATAGAAGACAGTTTCTCCCCTTTTTGAAGCTTGAAGCTTGTCTTTTTTTTCTTTAAGATTTCTTTTATTTTTATTGGAAAGGTGGATATACAGAGAGGAGAGACAGAGAGGAAGAGCTTCCGTCTGATGATTCACTCCCCAAGTGAGCACAATGGTCAATGCTACGCAGATCCGAAGCCAGGAGCCTCTTCCGGGTCTCCCACGCGAGTGCAGGGTCCCAAAGCTTTGGGCCGTCCTCAACTGCTTTCCCAGGCCACAGGCAGGGAGCTGGATGGGAAGCAGGGCTGCTGGGATTAGAACCAGAGCTCATATGGGATCCCGGGCGTGCAAGGCGAGGACCTTAATCACTGCACCATCGCACCGGGCCCAAGCTTGTCTTTTGAGACAACTACTATATAATGTTTGCTTCTAGATCTGCCAGAATTTGCCTCTTAGTCTGTTAAAGTACTTCATTTAGACTGTAACCTTTTTTTTTTTTCTTGTATCATTTTGCTATCATTCCTACCTTACTTGAAGGAATATCCTAATCTGTTAGTGAAGATATGGCCATTTCCTAGAAATTAATAAGGATAAGTGATTAAAAATGATTTTTGAAAATTACAATTAACAATAGCCTGTAGCAGATAAATTTATCCATTTGTTTTTACTGAAATTGAGAGTACATTTCACTTCATCATTTTTAAAGTAAAGTCTGATTTATTTGAAAGGCACAGTGACAGAGAAAGAGGAAAGGCAGAGAGATTTCCATCCTCTTCCCAGATGTTTGCAACAGCCTGGTCTGGGCAGGACAAAGCCTGGGGCCAGGAAATCCATGTGGGAGTGGCAGAAACCTGAAAACCTGAGCCATCATTTACTGTCCCAGCTGCATTAACAGTGGGCTGAATCTGAATAGAAAGGAGGACTCAAACCAGGCATTTCAGTATAGCATAAGGGGGTAGCAAGTGGAGGCCTAACTAGCTGTGCCACAGCACCTGCCTTACCTCTTTTCTTCAAAAGGTATATGTAGACTTCTTTCGTGTTCTCTGTAATGTTAGCAAATTGAAGTAACAATAAGAATGGCATGGCTCTCATCTTTTATTTTCCCGAAATTTATTATCTGTTCCCATTTGTAGACTGCAAATTCAGTTGTCCAGTTTTCTAGGATAATCTCTGGATGTGAACTTGACGGACCACCTGTCACTAAAGTCTGTGGGAACCAGTGGGGCTTGGATTGCCTGATCCAGATCCTGGGGCCTGCCTTTTAGGCGGGTGTCAACTTCGTGAGCCCCAGAGGTGGGGGATCTGGCAATGCTTGGGACACCTGGCCAAGAACATGCCCTACTTGCTCCCAGCGTGATAGCGCACTGGTTAAAGTCCTCACCTTGCATGCACCGGGATTCCATATGGGCGCTGGTTCTAATCCCAGTGGCCCCACTTCCCATCCAGCTCCCTACTTATGGCCTGGGAAAAGCAGTAGAGGATAGTCAAAAGCTTTGGAACCCTGCTCCAGTCATTGTGGCCGCTTGGTGAGTGAGCCATCGGACAGAAGATCTTCCTCTCTGTCTCTGTTGCTCTGTGTATATCTGCCTTTCCAATACAAATAAATAAATCTTAAAAAAAAAAAAAAGAACATGCCCTATTTAATGAAAAGGTTGGAGCAGTAGACACAGGCCCTGTTATAAAAGGAGAATATGGCAGCACATTTGGTGCTGTAGCAGAAGAACAGAACTAACTGGACAACAGCCCCAAAACAAAAATTGACAGCAAAAAATCTCAGTGAATGGAGCCAATGGACATTGGGAGGGCGACATCATCCTCGGATCAGTGAAATCGGCAGCATTTCAGAACTATCCAATCCACTTGGCCCCGATCCTCAGAACACGTACACATTGAGACTGGGCTGATATGAGGTGGTGGTTCCTCATTCCTGGGTACTGGGATGTGTGGAAAGTCGTGAGTAGTTTCCCCCTTTGTTTCTCCCCTTCCCCAGAAACAAGAATAGCAACTTTGGAAGCAATGAGTTCACCCAGTTTTTCCTAAACCTCAATCCTCCCCACCCTGGTCAACCGTGTAATCATTATGAAAAATAAAATTTATTAAAAATTTGTTTAAATTATCATATTTTGGGGGCCCAGCACTATAGTCTAGCAGCTAAAGTCCTCACCTTGAACACACCAGGATCCCATATGGGTGCTGGTTCTAATCCCGGAAGCTCCACTTTCCATCCAGCTCCCTGCTTGTGGCCTGGGAAAGCAGTCGAGGACGGGCAGCCCAAAGCCTTGGGACCCTGTTATCCGTGTGGGAGACCTGGAACAGATTCTAGGCTCCTGTCTTCAGATTGACTCAGCTCCGGCCATTGTGGCCACTTGGAGAATGAATCATCAGACAGATGATCTTCCTCTCCATCTCTCCTTCTCTCTCTTTATCTGACTTTGCAATAAAAATAGATCTTTTAAAAATTATCATATCTAGGAATATATAACAAAACCAGGTATCTAAGAAACCATATACTGTTCATCATACTGATATACTGCATTTTAACTGTTCCCCAACTTTAACCATTGATTATATTTTTATATATTTTAACTCAAGATGCTTTATTATTTATAAGTAGCAGCAAATTTAGTTTTAGGTGTTTGATCCATCTTGTGTTGATTGTATATGATGAAAGGTATAAGTCTAATTTTATTCTAAGAAATACAGGTTGATTGCCAGCAACATTTACTGAGAAGACTATTGTTTCTCCAGTGTACATTCTGGGCATTTTTGTCAAAAATCAGTTGGTTTTATAGACAAGAATTAACTTCAAACCTCTCTGTTTCATTGACTTATGTGCCAGCTTTTATGCCAGTATCACAGTGTTTTAGTTACTGTAGCTTTGTAGTTGACTTTGAAGTAAGGTGTTATGATGCCTCCAAGCTTGCGTTTCTTGTGTTGTTTTTTTATTTGTTTGTTTTGTTTTTCCATTTAAGATTGCTTTGGCTATTCTGGGTCTTTTGTGAATCGTAAGATGAGTTTTAGAATTTTTATAATTCTGTCATTGGTATTTTAACAGAAAAAAATTATAATAAGGACTATATGTCATAAATTAGTAGCCAAAATCATTCTGAATGGAGAAAAGCTGAGAGCACTTCCTTCCCTTCATCTCTGGAACAAGACAATGAGGTTCACTTTACCATTCTTACTCAGTACAGTATTGCGAGTATTATTAGCAAGAGCAACAAGGGAGGAGAAAGAAAGGGCATTGAAATCAAAAGGAGGAAGTCAAGATATCCATGTTTGCAGATGACATTATGTTGTATGTGGAAAAACCTAAACCTCCACCAAAGAGCTGTTAGAATGAATAAACCAATTCAGAAAAGTCACAAGTTACAGTAAATACATATATAAAGTAGCATTTTCATACTCCGAAAATGAGCTCACCAAGAGAAATAACAATCTCATTCACAGTAGCCCTCCCTACACACACACATATGCAAAACCAAATATTTAGGATTAAATTTAACTAAAGAAATAAGGTATTTGCAACAAAAACTGTAAAACATTGGTGAAATAAATCATCAAGGGCAAACAAAAAAATAAGATACTCCTTGCTCATAGAAGAATTAATATGGTTCAATTGTTGGTACCACCTAAAGCAATCTGCAGATCCGATTTTTTTTTTTTAGTTTGAACAATTTTATTTTTTAGCAATTTAGTTAGTGCTGCATTAGTGTTAATAATATATTTGTGTCTTCTTTTTTAACCTCACTTGACTTTTTGCACTTCTTATCCTTCACAGGGTTTGGAGAGGTTACAGAACTGGAAGGGACAGTTATAGTGCAGAAATAATTGACTTCTAATTCAACTACAAAGAATTATCTCCCAACTTATTTTTCTCTTTGACATAAAGATGAGCTTATCCAAGACAAGATTTTGCATATTACACATGTGTTTAATTCTAGATATACTTGAAGATGTAAATTATGCTATTACCTGCCTTTCCAACATTCTTCTTTTCAGGAGGAGAGCAGTGGACAGGATTAAGAACCCAGATAAATCCATTACTCATTATTTGTAAAGTAGAGAGTCCATTTTGGAAGCTAATTGGTAGTTTGCTTTTTTAGGCATAACAAAATTTCTTCATTTAAATTGTAATAATTCAGGGACATCTCCTTTGCCACTTTTGATGAATTTACTATTTGGTATTTTACTATGTTTTCCAAATATGTAATGGAATTTGTATAATCCATTAGCTTTTTTGTTTTTCAATATAATACAATGATATTAAATAATAAAAACATCCTTCTTATCAAGTTGGGTTTTTGTTGTTGGTAAACTTGCTTTTTGCCAATCTTGACTTGTATATTGCACTTGAGTACAATTCCATGTATTTTGCAATTTGGCCACAGGAAAGTAAAACAAGATTTGTTTACATAGCCTTAAGCTCCTACTTTACTGTATTATGTTTTTAAACTGGCTTGAACTATAAGATGCAATTTATTTGAGTGAAAGGCAGATTTTACAGAAAGAAGAGATAGAGAGGTCTGCCACCTGCTGGCTAACTCCCCAAATAGCCAAAATGGCCAGAGCAGAGCTAAACCAAAGGTGGGAGCCATGCAAGAGCCCCAGGACTCAGATCATCCTCTGCTGATTTCCCAAGCCATTAGTAGAGAACTGGATCAGAAGTGGAGAAGCAGGGAAACAAGCCGGTACCCATATGGGATGCTGACACTAGCAGGTCGAGGATTAGTGTGCTGTGCCACCATGCTGGCCGCAATGCAATTTATTTTTAAATGAGACAGAAAAAAATATACAACATTGAGTATCAATTACTATTTTCACTCCAGGATAAAATGCAGGTTGACCAAGAAGAAGGAAGTCATCAGAAATGCCATGCTGAGCATACCCCAGAAGAGGAAATTGATCATACAGGAGCCAAAACAAAGGTGTGCTTTTATCTCCTTATAGTTGCCTGAGATTCATATTAAATTAATGTGTTTATGATATTTGTTTTTTATATGCTTGATATTTTTATTTTATCTGGAAGACAGAGAGACAAAGATCTTTTGCTTTTTCGTTCATTCCCCAGATGCTCAAAATAACCAGGACTGAGGTAGGCAGAAGCTAGGAGCTCAGAACTAACTTAGATTCCCCACCCCCATAGGTGGGATACCCAAATACTTAAACCATCACCTGCTACATCGCAGGATGTACACCAGCAGGGAGGTGCATCAGAGGTGTTATCACAGAGATGTGTTATCAGGCACTCTGACACAGAATGTGGGCATCCGAAGCAGTAACTCACACTAAACACATAGCCTTACCTGGTATTTTTATCTTAGTGCTGTGGAAAAGCATAGGAAGCTTATGGCCAGAATAATATATTTCAGTATTTTATTTTAACGTTTATTTTACTTGAAATAATTACAGGGAGAGAGAGATACATAGAACTTCTATCTGCTGGTTCACTCTCCAAATGGCTGCTACTTCAGAGGTGGGCCAAGTCAAAGCTAGGAGCCAGTGTGTTCTTTTGGATCTCCCACATAGGTGCAGGAGCCCAGGAACTTGGGCCACCCTCCACTGCTTTCTTAGTCCATCGACAGGAAGCAGAATAGAAGTGGAACAGCCAAGACACAAATTGAAGCCTCTATAGATGCTGCTGCCACAGGCAGGAGATTAGCCTAATATGCTACTGTGCTGTTCCCAAGAATTTTCTACTTATTTGAAAAACAGAGTTACAAATAGGGAAGGGAAGATAGACCTTCTATCCATGGATTCATTCCTCCAGATGTGGGCCACAACATCCAGGGTTGGTCCAGATGAAAAGCAGCAGCCAGGAGCTTCACATGTATACAGCGATCCAGAGACTTAGACTGTCTTCCACTGCTTTCCCAGGCACATAACCATGGAGCTGGATCCCGGAAGTAGAATGACAGGGATACACACCGGCACCCATCCCCCAGGCAGTAGTCAAGCTGATATGCTACAATGCTGATCTTCAGGCACCCTTTTTAATATTTGTTTATTTGAAAGGAAGATTAAGAGAGGACGGTTTTCTACCTGCTTGTTCACTTCCCAAATGCCTTAAAACAGCCAGATTTTAAACCCTAATAATATTACTAAAGCTATAATTTTAAATAAATTTATTATTTTTTTGTTCTTTCTAAAGAATTTTTTTAATTTTTAATTTTTAATTTTATCGTACAATTCTGTGTAGTCTGGGATTCCCCTCCCCGAAATCCACCCCCCAACAGATTTTTTTCCCATATTGTCACAACAATGCATTTCTTCATGAGGAGTTACAGTTCCATCAGTCTGCTGTTTAAGTGTGCCCCAACATTGCTACTACAGACAATGTCAGACAGTCCATCATCCCATTGTATAAGATATGTCCAACATTTTTATTTGGAGTCCATCTTTTGTTTGGAAGTAGGGATGCATGTTGCATTGTGTCTTCACATTTGGATATGGTAGTCTCCATTACTCCATCACTGTACATTCCAATTTGCATGATAGTTTCCTTATATTAGAACATATGATATTTGTCTTTTTGAAATTGACTTATTTCACTGAGCATAATGGTCTCTAGTTGGAACCATCTAGTTGCAGATGGTATAACTTCATTCTTTTTAATGGCTGAATAATATTCCATGGAGTAGATGTACTACAGTTTCTTTAACCAGTCCTCTTTGGATGCACATCTGGATTGTTTCCATGTCTTTGCTATTGTAGATTGTGCTGTTGTAAATATAGGATTACAGATCCCCTTCTCATACACACATTTAATTTCTTTTGGGTATATTCCTAGGAGTGGGATAGCTGATTTATTATTTTTATTTATGTACTTTTTATTGGAAAAGCAGATATACAGAGAGGAGGAGGAGACAGAGAAGAAGATCTTCCATCTACTGGTTCACTCCCCAGGTGGCCACAATGGCTAGAACTGAGCCTATCTGAAGCCAGGAGCTTCTTCCAGGTCTCCCACAGGGGTGCAGGGTCCCAAGGCTTTAGGCCGTCCTCGACTGCTTTCCCAGGCCACAAGCAGGGAGCTGGATGAGAAATGGAGCCACCGGGATATGAACTGTGCCCATATTGATGCCAGGCGAGAAAGGCGAGGATTAGCCCCTAGGCTATGGCACCAGGCCCTGATCATATTCTTAAGAAAGGAGATGTTTGGTCCTATGCTATCTCTTAGTTTTAACATTTTGAAGAACTTTTTGCCAACCATTTTGAAATTCTGCTAATAATGTTTAAGGATTTTAATTTCTCCACATTCTCACTAACACCATTTTTTAAATAGTGATCAGAGTGAGTATAAAACCGGCAACCATAGTTTGATTTGCATTTCCCACTTGATAACTTCTATATAGAAATGATTTAGCATGCATAGAATATAAAATACTGGGCCCGGCGCGGTGGCGCAGTGGTTAAAGGTCCTCACCTTGCACGCCCGGGATCCCATATGGGCGCCGGTTCTAATCCCGGCAGCCCTGCTTCCCTTCCAGCTCCCTGCCTGTGACCCGGGAAAGCAGTCGAGGACAGCCCAAGGATTTGGGACCCTGCACCCGTGTGGGAGACCCGGAAGAGTCTCCTGGCTTCGGATCGGCATAGTATCGGCCGTTGTGCTCACTTGGGGAGTGAATCATCGGACGGAGGATCTTCCTCTCTGTCTCTCCTCTCTGTATATCTGCCTTTCCAATAAAAAAATAATACAAATAAATCTTTATTAAAAAAAAGAATATAAAATACTGTCTGAATTAAAGTAATATTTTTCATTGTTTGGAGCCACATTTGTTTTTTACCAACTTTTTTTTTTAATTTTTATTTTGAATTTTGAATTTTATGGTACAATTCCATAAAGTCTAGAATTCCCCTTCCCCCAAATTCTCACCCCCCCAACTGATATTTTTCCCCCTATTATTACAGTAGTATAGTCCTTCATAAGAAGTTATAATTCCATCAGTCTGTTAAAGTGTGCCCTGACATTGCTGGTACAGTGTCAGACAGTCCAGCATAAAATAATATTTTTAATACATGAACTATAATATCTGCTAATAGTTTTGTTTGATTTTACTTTTCTGTGTCAGTGCAATTTATTAAGCTGGTCTTAAAAACTTACATTTCTCTCTCACCTTTTTTTTTTACAGTTAGCTCCATCAGACAAACCAGACCGATTAAATCAAAATATTAAAAAAGCAAAAGTCAAGAGTATTGACCTTCCTATTCAGAGCAGCTTGTGTAGACAACTGGGCCAAGATCTTCTCAATAGCTACATTGAAAACGAGGTACAGAAAGTTATGCCATGTTCAAATTCTGAAATTTGTTTCTAAAACCTGAAGAACTAGTCCATAATACCTAAGCAATTATTTTAGACATTATTGAACTACTTTTACACATTTTGAACTACTTTTTGACATACTGTACTAATGTCCTACATGTTGCAGCTTTTGTCTTGATTTTGTAAAAAGTGAGTATTGTGTCATTGCAAAGGCCTGATGAGGCTTATTACTTTCCTCCCTTCCCCAGCCTTTTATTCTGCCTTAAGAGTAACAAGCAGCAATCATCAGGTTGCAGAGTAGTAGCAGCTCTCCTCTTCTGACATGTTATCCTAAAGTTCCGTTCAAAATATTTTGACTTCCATTAAATACATATTACAAATCTCAAGTCATTTTATATTTCTCTTATATATTCTTAAAGTATTATGCCATGCATATTTTTACTTCTTTGATAACAGTAATTTTTGCTAACACACCTTGAGATACTTTGATACTTTATACTGAAAAACAAGCCTGTGAAATGTTAAGTACTTTTAGGGATGTACATATTGAAGATGAGGAATCTGAGGCACAAGTAAAATCCTAAATTCAGAGAGTAATCCTTGGATTCGGAATCAAGCGGTCTTCAAAGTTCAACCTCACAAACATAATGCTATATTTCTTCCTAACACTAACATTCGTTCAGTACTAACTCTGTGTCAGTTACTATGTTAAATATTTTACATGAATGATATCAATCTTTCTAAACACTGTTAGAAGATAAGAGGTCATATTCCCTATTTTAAGAAAAGAAGTGAGGCTAAGTGGATTTCCTCCTACCTTAGGCTAGTAAATCAGGAACCCAGGGTTTAAACTTGCATATATATGATGACAGAGTTTATGTTTTGTTTTCAAACAACTTTATTGATATAAATTTACATATACCATGTAGCTCATTTGAAGTACACAAATGTCTTAAAATTACAATGAAATATACATAACATAAAATATACTACTTTAAAGTGTGTAGTTCAGTGACATAAATTACATTTCACAGTATTACAATCATCACACTATTTCCAAAAGTTTTTCATTGTCTCACACATAAACTCTGTAATCGTTACACGAGCACTCTCCATTCTTCGCCTTCTCAAGTTCCCAGGAATGTGTGACCTATTTTCTGTCTCTGTGAATTTATTTAGGGAAGATAACTCATAAGTTGAAACCATTTGATGCTGTTCTTTTGCATGGATTATTTCACTTGCTGTAATGACTTCAAGGTTCACCCATGTTGTAGCATGCATCAGAACTTTTGCTCCTCTTTAACAATGGCTGAGAAAATTCCTTTATGGGGAGTTACTTATTTATTCATGTATCTGTTAGTGGATGCTTCTGTTGTTTCTTTTTGGCTATTGTGAATTATATTGTAATGAACATTGCATAATTTGAACACCTGCTTTCAAATCCTTTGAGCCTACAACTAGCAGTGGAATTGATGAATGAGGATAAAATTACAATTCTATGTTTAGCTTTTTCAGGAATCTCCAAATTGTTTTCCATAATGTTGTCCATCAGCAACATATTGAAGGTTTTAATTTCTCCACATCATCATGAATACTTATTTTCCATTTTTTAAAAGTTACAATTATCCTAATGGATTTGAAATGATATCTCATTGTGGTTTTGATTTGTATCTCCCTAATGAATATTCTCACTGCAACTCATCCGAATCTTTTTGAATAGGGGAAGATGATAATGCAGGATAAGTTAGAGAAAGAAAGAAATGATGCTAAGAATGCTGTTGAAGAATATGTATACGACTTTAGAGACAAGCTGGGCACTGTCTATGAAAAATTCATCACTCCAGAAGTAAGTCTAAAGTTTACAATTATTATGAGAACTACTTAAGTATTTAGCTTAAAATACGAGAATGAATTTCATAAATAAGTATACTAATAAATCTTCAGCCCCTATAGAGATTGTTCTTATCTAAAATGTAGAACTGTGGTAAAAACCAAGCTTTTGGGTACAAAATCAGGATAAGTATGAAATTTAAAAATACGAAAGTTACATCAAAAACATTGTTCTTCCATAATTACACTTATTCCAAAGGAAGCATTTCTTAATATCTGTCAAATGTATAATCAGGACATGAATAAACTATCTGCAATATTGGAAGATACAGAAAATTGGCTTTATGAAGAAGGAGAAGACCAACCTAAACAAGTATATGTGGATAAACTTCAAGAACTAAAGGTAATGTTTTTTTTTTATAATATTTTTTATTTTAACAATCTTTACATGGTTAATTTGTGCATAAAGGGTCAAGGGCTACAGGAAAGTGGGTAAGACTATTATTTCCATATTGTTTCCTTCATATATCTGAGGTACAGGGGGATATTGAGGGAGAAGCCCCACCTGATTTCCCACCCACCCCAAGTCCCGCATGTGGGGCATGCTCCGAGATACTCATTGAAGTGGTTTCAATAGGTCACCAGTTTTGAAATTGCTGCCAATCTTGCCTCTCCAAACACGATGAGGTTGTTGAAAAATCCATTAATTGACATTGTCCATCATAGCGTCTCTATTTGCCCGGTATTTTGTTGCCAACCTATAGCTGAGGTGGTTGATTAACTTGTTCCATCTTCTGTCCCTTCATGGTTAGGGTTCTGAGTCTGGCATTTCAATTGGGGAGATCCCCAAAGAAACTTCGTCTGAGGTGTTCCCAGGCCAGATACTCGTATGCACCAGCAAGCACAGGGCCCAGCACAGTCCATCACCCGGTCAGCTGGTACTTGCAATTGCTGGGTTGGTTCTGTTTTCAGCCCCGCCTTCTACTGGAACCAATGGGTGATGCAGTCCAGCCTGGTTCTGCACAGCACATACTTGGTCTTCACCTAAACCAGTGGGAGCTGCATCCTGATGAGAGCGGCCCACAATAACCCCCACCAGGCCAACCCCCTACCCTGGTTTGCCAGTATGTGTAGCAGACCAGTCCAATCTGACCCACATTCCCCCTGGTTCTCGTACATGGCAAATGGCATTGAAGCTTGGATCCATCTACCCAGCTCAACAGTCAAGCCTTCACGGGTGTGGTTGAGTGCCTCTCTGTCTAGCTACCCCAGCCCCTGTCCTAGTTCTCGTGCCTTCCCGTGGCAGTGGTAACCCAAGAGGGGGGAACCCACTATTTCCCTCCCAGGTCTCTCACTCCCGGATTGTGCACTTTCCAGGTGGTTCTGCAGTTTAACTTGACAGGATAGTGCCAGTTTCTGCCAGCTGATGCTACGGCTATGCCCAAACAGCCCTCTCCCATTCTAATTGTAGGTTGCACCCATAGGAACAATCAACTCATCCTGGCTTTTCCCTGGTCTAGTCCACATGAGGCACACAGGTGTTGTAGCCCTGCTTAGTCTGGTCTGCCCCCATCCCAGTTCATGCTCTCCAGGGGAAGTAGTTGTCCAGCAGGGGAACCTCCCCTTATTCCCCCACTGGCTCTGTCCCCTCCCCTCCTGTTTCTCACGTGTGCTAGATGGGCACTGCAGTCACATCCGGCACAGTCAACCTCCTCCTGGCATTCTGTAGTGTGGACTGGTTTTTATCGCAACCAAACCTGACTCGACCCTTACTCTGTTCTGGTGCTCGGATTTGCCAGTGATGATGTTAACTGATTAGCCTGGTCTGTCCCCAATCCATGCCTAATGTATGCCAGTGGGAAACTTCTTGTGGCCTGTTCTGGGCTGTTTCCATTCATGCTTGTTGCACTTACCCGTGGAGTCTGTGTCCTGCCAGAGGAGTTTAAAGGTAATGTTTTAAAGACTCCTTATTGGTATTAAAGCATCAATCTCCTAAGCATTATGTTGTGAAAATGCTGGGTATGTTTTCAATTACCAAGAACAAATTGCATATGGTTATTTATTTATATGCAACACAGTATTTTGATAAATATATACATGTGGAATGACTAAATTAAGCTCTTTAATGTGCATTATCATGCAGTTTGTTGTTAAGAACACCTAAATCTCAACAGTGTACCAATTTATTTATATAAAATATTGTTCATTGTGGCCACCATGGTTGCAATATATGTCTTTGTAAAATATTTATTTGAAACATGGAATGGCAGAAAGGAAAGACAGAGAGAAAGAGACCTTACATCCTCTGGTTTTCCCCAAATGGCTGCAATGGCCAGGGCTGGACGAGGTAAAACCAGGAATCAAGAACTTTATTCAGAATTTTCACATGGGCGCAGGGGCCCAAGCACTTGGGCCAGTCCTCTGCTACTTTTCCAGGTGATTAGCAGAGAGCTGGATTGAAAGAACAGCCAGAGCTCTGACACATAATGCCAACATCACAAGCAATGGTTTAAATCCCTGTACCTCAGCACCAGCCCTGCCAGCAGACCTCTTCAGCATATTTCTCATCTATCAGAAATTTTCTTTCCTTGACCAGTACTTTCCCTGTCATTCCCTCGCTCTCTTCCACCCTCTAATAACCACCATTTTACTCTCTGCTTCTATGAGTTCAGCTTTTTTTAGATTTGACATGTAAGTAAGATCATACAGAATCTATCTTTACATGCCAGTATTTCAGATCTATTCAAGTCCCAAAAGACAGAATTTATTTTATTTATTTGACAAAATTTATTTATTTGAAATGAAGAATTAGAAGGAGAGTCAGTCTTGCATCTGCTGGTTCACTTGCCAGTGACTGCATCTGGGTCTGAGCCAGGCTGAGGCCAGGATCCAGTCACCCCATGTATCTCAAGTGCCATGTTCCATTGCCTTCCCAGGTGCCTTCCTAGTGAGCTAGCTCAGAAGCAGAGCAGCCAGGACTTGAACTGGCACTCATTTTGGACACCAGCATTGCAGACAGTGGCTTAATCCACTGTGCCTTGATGCTGGCCCCAACATTTCTTTATTGAAAAGACTGAGTTATATTCCATTACATATATACATTATTTATACACACACACACATAAAACCATCCATTGGTGGACATCTGTTGACTGTTGTTTATAGAACTATAACAAAACGTTAGTGCAGATATAATTTAAGCATGATTTCATTTCTAGTGGATATATACCCAGTTTTGGGATTGAAAGATCTGTTTTTAATAAGTGTGTGAAAAAATAACTATCAAAGCTATTTAATAGCATTCTAAGATTAAAGGCATTTTTGAGAGGAAAGCAATGCTACTTGATTAAAATCAAGTAATACATGATCATACACATAATAACTGCTGAAGATGTCTCTAACAGCTGGCCAAAGTGTTACTTTTATACAAGCTGTAAAATGTGTTGTCTTTAAAGGTGATAAATGACACCTTCATATCCATTGGAGGAGTCACCTTCCTTTGATCTCTCATGCTCCACTACTCTGACTTTAGGAAAAACAATAGCACCTTGGCCTTGTATTTTCTAGCCCAACTGAGGTGAACACCTGACTAGCCAAGGACTTCAAAAATAGTACCTCTGCTCTTCAAAAAAACAAAACAAAAAAAACCCCTTAGTTTCCAGGTCATCTCTTTCTAAGTCAGTAGTAGAATTTTATAAAAAGACTATTGTTGGCACCTTTTTCCATGCTTGTTACCCAGCCCTGAAGAGATTAGAAGGTTCCCCCCACCCATGTGGAAGAGCAGGATAGAGTTCCTGACACTTGGTGTCAGCCTGGTGCAGACCAAATAATAAAAATTTGGAATGAACCAAATAATAGAAACCTCTCCCTCTGTCTCTGAAATATATTTCTTTTGTTTTTTTAAGATTTATTTTATTTTTATTGGAAAGGTGGGTATACAGAGAGGAGAGACAGAGAGAAAGATCTTCCGTCCAATGATTCACTTCCCAAGTGGCCTCAACGGCTGGAGCTGAGCCAATCCGAAGCCAGGAGCCTCTTCCAGGCCTCCGAAGCGGATGCAGGGTCCCAAAGCTTTGGGCCATCCTTGACTGCTTTCCCGGGCCACAGGCAGGGAGCTGGATGGGAAGCGGGGCTGCCGGGATTAGAACTGGCACCCATATGGGATCCCGGGCACCACTACACCATCGCGCCGGGCCCCTGAAATATATTTCTTAAAAAATATATAGGGCCCAGCGCCATGGCCTAGCAGCTAAAGTCCTTGCCTTGAATGTGCTGGATTCCATATGGGCACCGGTTCTAATCCCAGCAGCCTCACTTCCCATCCAGCTCCCTGCTTGTGGCCTGGGAAAGCAGTTGAGGACGGCCCAAAGCCTTTGAACCCTGCACCCCTGTGGGAGAACTGGAGGAGGTTCCTGGCTTGTGGCTTAGGATCAGCATAGCACCAGCTGTTGCAGTCACTTGGGGAGTGAATCATTGGATGGAAGATCTTCTTCTCTGTCTCCTCCTCCTCTCTGTATACCTGCCTTTCCAATAAAAATAAATACATCTTTTAAAATATATATATATATATATGAAATGCAGGGTTCAGTTAATAGTGTCTGCTGCTCTAATTTTTCTGGCAATTGAAAATCACTTGAAAATAAATTGATTTTTATCGCAATATGTAAAAGAATTTTAAAAAAAGTTATTATTGTAATATGCTTCTTTTTTCAAAGGAAGAGGCTGTTACAACTCCTACAAATCCCCCCATCTAAATACTTGGAGGGGTAAAAAGCTACGCTTGTAACACATTATACATTTTAACATAATGGTCGTGAAAATAATAGTAGTTACTAACTATAAGGAAGTTCCAGTAACTACCTTTTTGTAGTTTTATAAAGTTCTAATACCTAGGCCTGAAGGAATTAAAATTTTGGTTAGAACTTTGGATTTGAAAAGAATCAGGACATCAATCCGTTGAATGAGAAAGAGAGGTAAGGCACGAATATAGGGTTATGGAAGAAAATTGGCACTGGAATTCACTTTGTAAGGAAACAAATGGGAGCATAATGTTAAATTTACCATTTTTCTTACTATTTATCATCAAGAACCCAATGAAATTTTTGGTTCTGTTAAAACTCAATCACATTTTTCTCTTTTTAAAACATTTTTTCTGTTAACAGAAATATGGCCAGCCTATTCAAATGAGGTACATGGAACATGAAGAAAGACCAAAAGCTTTAAATGACTTGGGAAAAAAGATTCAACTCGTCATGAAAGTGATAGAAGCATACAGAAACAAGGTATTGGATTTATAAAACCAGTTGCTTGATAAGAGGGCATGTGTGTGGCACATGGAAAGAGTGGGATAAAATCTAAAATTTCCCAACTAAAAAGCTGTTTCAGTTTTTGCTGCCACATTCCAGAGACCCTCTTACCTAACTCTGGCTCCTGAGGCCAGTTCCCTGCTCCTGCAGATCCTGGGAGGCAGCAGGGGAAGGCTCAGTTAGCCTCAGCCTTGCCTCCCAGCTTCCAACTTAGAGCAGCCAAATGGAAGGGAGAGTGAGCTAAACTAAAGGAGATAACAGTGAAGGTAAGTGGCTTGCATCTTTCAGACTTCTCTCAAACCATATTATAAGTTAATCTAATGGACACATCCAGTTTTTTCCTTCTTACATGTTTCATTTTTATGTTTTTTATACAGTAAAAAATAAATGTTCGTGGTCTTTTTTAAATTTTTGCTCCCTTTGAGACTGGACTCTACATTTATTTTGTTCCTTAACACTTTTGTTTAGTTACTCTTTGCCTTGCAGTTCATTAATCATCTATAATTCCTAATATCCTTTTTCTATTTGTATTTTTATTAGCTTAACTTTTCCATTGTTTTTAAGCCTCAAATACATAATTATGAAAGTTATTATCTCCATTTAAATTTGACAATGTAATTTGGCAAAACTAAACAATATTTTCCTTCTTTAAACTGGGAATTAGTATTTTTTAGATAAAGAAATATTATAGGCTTTTCTTTCTGTGCCGTATCAGGACAGCTGTTCATCTCTACCTCTATCCTGCAACAGCAAATATAGATGGTACGTAAACAAACAGGCACATCTGTGGTCCCAAAAATTGTATTAAAAAACAGACAGCTGGTTGGATTTGGCTTCAGGACAGGGTTCCTGGATCCTGACTTATTATTTGTTATTCAGTTTCTTGGTTTATTATTTACTTATTATTGGAGAGACAGATTTACAGAGGAGAGACATAAGAATTTCAAAAGATCTGCCATTCACTGGTTCGTTCCCTAATTAGCCACAATGGTCATAGCTCAGCTGATCCAAAGCCAGGAGCCAGAAGTTCTTCTAGGTCTCCCACACGTGTGCAGGATCCAAAGCTTTGAATTATCCTTGACTGCTTTCCCAGGCCACAGGAGCTGAAAGGGAAGTGGAGCTGCCAGGACATACACAGGCACCCATATAGGATCCCATCCCAGTGCTGAAGGCAAGCACTATAGCCAGTAGGCTAATCCTGTTTTTATCATTAATGTTAAAAAATACTTCTGTAGGAAGAAGAGACCAGTACCAGGAGCATTCAGGCATTGATATCGTAATGACAGTTTACAATTACCAAGCATGTAAGCATGTAGGGACTTTTTATCACTTTTGCCTGGCCTATGTCTTTTTATCCTCTTCAGGATGTATCATAAAACTGTGAATATTTTAGGTTTAAAAAAACAAGATTGCATAAGGAATTTACTAATGTAAATGATGGAGGTCAGCTTCCAGGTTCTGAACCACTGTATTGCTTTCCACCACACAAGAAGGAAAAAGGTTACTTATTTAAAAACAAGAGATTTGTGAGTTTTTGTTTGCTGTCTTGTAATGATGGATTCGGTGCACGGAGCCAAAAATCATACAGGTGGACTACTGACTGATGGTCAATAGGTGAAGTTTATTAAAAGCATTAGACTTTTGAAGGCTGAGAGTCAAATAGGATTAATTAAGAGGGCTTGAGGAATTTACATATCAACAGCAAGAGGGATTGTACCAGTAAGCAATTTGTTCCTCTAGCCGGTGCCTCTCTTTCCTGTTAGTTCCTGTTCCCCTGCCTGTGAGAAAGGAAGCACCTTTCTAAACGTGTCATCTAAACAGGAGGATTAGATAGTTTCTGGCCTGTTCATTTACATATCAGCTGCTCTTAGAGCCCTTCCAACAGGATTGCAACTAGCCCTGGCTCCACACCGGCAAGACTTCCTTAAATCCTCTTTTGAATCAATTGTTTTCCTACAGATCCTAGTAAGTTGTTCTACAAGTTTTGCAGGATTATAATTGCAGTCCAGCTAATTTGAAGAAGTCCACATACTGATTATGAATAGATTTGTTAATGTCAGTGTCCAAGTTGTCTTTAAAGTCACTAATGAATGTAAGGAAAAATAAGCATGAGAAAACAAATAAAAACATGAAAATATTCTAAATCTAGTGTAATTTCTGTGGCTCATTCCCTAGACTTTAGCTTTCTGTGGTATAAAGTGTAATATATAAAGACTTTATATATGCTCAAGCATTTGAGTTCTTGTTATATGCCACACTATTGCTAGGTACTGGAACTACAGCATCAAACAAAATATTGAACCTATTTCTACAATGCTTCAGAGTAGGGAAGCTTGTGGTGTGGTGGTTAAGCTGCTGCGTAGGCAGTGTCTCCAACCTGGACTGGGGTCCTGATCATATCTTTCTACTAATGCACACTTTCTGTGTGTATCTATCTGCCTTTCAAATAAATACATTTAAAAATTGTGTTTAATGTACCAATATGAAGAAGTAGACAGTGAGTTACAGAAATGCATGGCAGTTGTGTCTTTATGAAGAAGGTTTGTCAGAGAAAGCTCAGATATTTAATAAAATGCTGTGTGAATACATTATGATCATTACATGAGAAATAATTTAGAAAAATGAAACAAGGGGGAATGTTGGAGAAAAAACAAGAAGGCTAGTGTAGGTACTGGCATTGTGACACAGCAGGTTAAGCCATCACCTACAATGCCAGCATCATGATGTAAGTTCCACTTAAAGTCCTGGCTACTCCACTGCCAATCTAGCTCCCTTCTAATGTACCCAGGAAAGCAGCAGAAGATGGCTCAAGTACTCAGGTCCCTGTTAACCACATAGGAGACCATAATGGAGTTCCATTTACCTTATTTCAAGTCAAGCCTCGCCCCAGCCACTATAGCCATTTTGGGAGTGAACCAGTAAATGGAAATACCTCTCTGTATGTCTATCTCTCCCTTCCTTGAGTATTATCTGTGGTTATTCTTTTTCAAACTGAATTCTGAAAGCTTTTCCATTTTAAAATCTAAATATTTTATCTCTTCTCCCAGTTTCATTAGTTCTGTTATGTTCCTGTATGACATCTTCACATGGGAATATGTGAGGTACACATGAAGATATATGTGAGGTCTAAGAATATTAATATTTTAAGAAGAAACAGTGAATAAACTAGTGCTGGCTCAAAATAAGTTACATTGAATTAAGTTTTCTTTTTACTAGGATGAAAGATATGATCATTTGGATCCTGCTGAAGTGGACAAAGTTGAAAAATATATCAGTGATGCCATGAGTTGGCTGAATAGTAAGATGAATGCACAGAACAAATTAAGTCTTACTCAAGATCCTGTGGTAAAAGTTTCAGAAATAGTTGCAAAATCAAAGGTAAAGTAAAATTCTTTCTAATGAGTCCAAGGATTAAGCTTCCTCAGTATGAGTCATATTTAGCCAAATAACAAGCAGGAGAACATAGAAAAATAAATATATATATAATCTTTTGTTTTTCTAAAAGAATTTTAAGCATATTTCTGTACCTCAAATTAATGTTTCACATCAGGCTAATTTTTAAATCTTAGAAGTAATAGAACTGAAACAGTGTTATGACTTCTGACTGTTAAATCATTCAAAGTTGCATATTAGATGAAACCTCTAAAATGTTCACTGTAAAATTCTACAGTGTAGGTCTGCCCTTAACATTGTTTGAAATACATGAACTTTCATGGAAAAAAACTTATTTCTACATAAACTTACTTATTAAAAAAAGTAGTAAATGTTAAAAGCTGTAGAAAACACTATGAAAAACATGGGAACAAAACTTTATGAAGATTGGTGTGGGAATAGGAAAATAAAGACATTGGATAAGCAATTGAGAAAAGAACTAGGTGTCTGCTTTCATCCTTAACACTAAGAAATACAGATTTTTTTCACCCATCTGATTTGATTATGCTTAACGTTTATAATCTTTGTCATAGTTGCAAGGGTGTAGAAAAATACAACCTGTGGAATCAGAAAAGAAACATTACAGAACCTGAGTAAAATTATCTCACTTGTATAAACTTGAATGTTCATAGATTGATACACTTATATATTATAAGCATACACAAATAGATTTAGAAAGATCCTCATCAGCACTTCAAACAAGGTTGTACGACAAGCATCCAATCTGTGGGAATCCTGAGGTAGGCATGAACAGCCAACAGGCCTTTGAAAAAATTTCACACCTCTGGTGTAACTAAGTGGACAGCCTCTCCTAACAATCAGGAGCACTCAAGTAATGCCTCTAGAACATTCTTCCCCACAGGGAGGCCTCAAAGGACACTCCCTCCCCAGCACTGATGTAGTGGGACAGCAAGGGGCAGTGCATTTGTCCTCCTCCTCACCTCCCCACACACACCTTCTGCATCATTGGAATCAAAGGCCCACATGGATCTGTAACCTCCTAACCTTTGTAATAAATATGAAATAAAGAAGGATGTTCATCAAACCGTTCATGGGATGGAATGATCTAATTAAATAAGTAAGAGTCTTCAATTTGGGATGTTTTGCTAAGAAGCTATAATACGTAATTTACCCCTCATTAGATATGTGAAGAGTAGTTTTCCAGCAAAACATCCTTTCCCATTAGGATGCTATTCCCTATCTTTCCATAATTAACCCCAATCTCTGTGACACTGATCTTCAAAGATTTTTGATTAGTTGTGTGTAATGATTTATTTCTGTGTAAAATGTAAAGAAACTGAAAATACATATTTATCAATTATCAAGATTACTTTTATAGCTTATTTTGCCTCAACATAAAAGACCACTTTGCTAATGTATATACTGATATAATTCCAGTCACTGAAATTGTTTCCATATTAATTGCGAGAAATCTCAATTCATGGAATAAGTATTGACGTAATTCCTATAAACAAAGTATTTGATGTAATTTAATGAATTAAAAATTATTCCTGACAAAGTATGCTATGTTTAAATTATGAGGAAACAAGTTTTGGAAAGGTTAGGTAAAAAAATTTTGTTAAAGATTCACTAAGGGTAGGCACTTTTGCCTACTAGTGAAAGTACCCACATCTCATATGAGAATACCTGGGTTCGACTCCCAGCTCAGGCTCCTGATGCCAGTTTCCTGCTAATGCAGAATCTAGAAGGTAGCTCAAGTAGTTGAGTAATTAGCATCCTCACAGGAGACCTGGACTGAGTTCCTGGCTCCCACACCGTAGCCACTGAAGGCATGTGGAGGCTAGCTTGTCATTAAAAAAAAAAAAGTTAAAGGTCATAAGTAGTTTTTGACTGCTTGTAGGCATATATCATTCCAGGAGGTAAATCCTTCTTGAGGCATCTGAAGATACACTTGATTATTTACCTGAACTAAGATGATTTCAGGGATGTAGAATTATATAAAAACTCAGAATGTTAATGTTGAATTTAGAAAAATAATCTTTATTGTTCTGTAGTATTTTTAATATAGTTAATTTCTTTGTGTCTTTAGGAACTGGATAATTTCTGTAACCCCATCATTTACAAGCCCAAACCGAAAGTAGAGGTTGCTGAGGACAAAGCGAAAGCTAATAGTGAACACAATGGACCAATGGATGGACAGAGTGGAACTGATCCTAAGCCAGAGGCAACTAAAGATAGCACACAGCATGCTAAGTCTTCTGGGGACATGGAAGTGGACTAAGTCTTCATTTTACCTTTACTTTACAAATAGTGCAAGTAACCCCAGGGTCCATTCTTTTACATCTGGTACACACAATAGTTGTTCAATTGTTCTTAATCACTTTGTCATTTGGTTTTTGGAGTAGTTTTGAAAAGTGTTTTTTATTGAGTGCACTTCTGTTCATTTCTATGGCTGCTTATGTGACGCTTTAGCCACATTTAGATTTATAAATCCACTTAAGATTTCCTGGTATATTTCACATCAAACATGCAAGTTTGAAATGTAATTGGCAACAATCTGATTTATTTAAAACCTCTACTTGGATAAAAACTTCATTCCTTTATTTAGGAAAGACTACCCTATTGCACTGTTGTTGCACAAGTGTAGATTTAGTTGCATCGTTACTTTGAAAGAAATTCAAACTGATGTGGTTTCTGAAAAGCCACTGAGGCACTGATTTTTTTCTAGTTATTGTTTAAATATTAAATAAGAGGTTCCTCCACAATTTAGTGCATCTCATTGATGTGCCATGAGAACTCCAAAGCTCTGCTGTCATCACATAAATGAACGAAATCACACACTAAAAGATAAAAATGAACAATTTTATGTGAAGGTGACACCAGCAGTTTGCTGCTTTTATTGGTAATATGGATTGATTTTTTAGAGATATGTATTTTGTTGCATGAAACTTTTGATTCTAAAGACCAGCTGCTGCTAAAATAATGCTAACCTAAAAGTACAGACAACTTCTGATGAGATTAATTTTTAAAGGGAAATGCTGTCAACCTACTCAATAATATGTCTGCAATACTGATAGCCTCAGTTTAAATATTTGCCTATCTCTTGATTTTAATACCTTAACATGAGTATGGAGAAATGACACAATGTATGCATTATACATATATATACACATACATATAGACATGTGTGTATCTATTTATATGCATGCATACATGTTTATGTATACATAAGTACACATGTGTGCATAAGTATGTTTGTATGTAGTATTTATTGTTTCTTACAATTTAGAAAAACACTATGAAATGGTAATACTTGAAAAGGAGCAGTTATACCAGTCTTAGGAATTAGTGCTTATAATAAGTTTAACTATATTACACAGCAATAGGTGAACTATAGAATGTTATATAGTATGATTGATGTGATTAAATTATAGTTCCTGCTGTTAGTCACCTTTTGAAAATCTGGCCCCAATAGGGGTGCATCTTCAGAATGTAAGTTAAGTGTGTGAAGAGACAGTAAGAGTAAGATACACTAAGAGCCTAATCTGTGCTCCATCACCAGGTTTGTTCACATCTGTCCAAAGACTTGAGACTGTTCAGGTATGGGAACAGACTGAGTGACATTTCAGCTTACAGGAGAACGAAGCATAGGCAAATGCACGAGCCCTTCTGTTAATGCCAATCAGCTAGATTGACTTCAGTTAAAATTTGAAAGGCTCCTTTCTCCCCTCAAAGCTAAATCTTAAGAATACTAACTTTTCTTTAGTAAAAAGTGAGAATGTAATATCTTTAGGGATAGTCAATATTTCTTACAACTAGTTCTCTAAGAGAGATTTTGTTTCTACAATGTAGTCTGCACTGAAAGGAGAATATGGAGGAGTGTATTTTGCAGGGATTTTTATTCATACTTTTCTGGGGGTAAGATATTTCTTTTTGCATTAAAAAATCATATAGACTAATTTTAAGAATATCTACTATTCTTTAAGTTAGGCTTTGCTTAGTATTAGAAATCTGTAAACGAAGTAATTATCTCCAATAAGTGATGAAATACATTTCTTAAACAAGCTTATGTTGGTTACTTTTCATCTGTATGTTGAATATAGAGGTTCATTCCATGCCTGTAAAAGAGAATATATAACAGTACAAGAAAGGACTAAGTAGCTTTTTCTTGTGTTAAAACTTCTACCCATTTGGTTAGGAATTGTGCCTCAGAAATTTCATAAGATTAGATGGGGGTGTCTGAATCGTATAACCTGACATTTTCTGTCCCTGTTATTATGTCACTTTATGTAGTTTTGTGTTATATAAATATAAAATTTATAACACTTCATTTAATAAGTTAAATGCATCCAAAAATAATATATGTACTTTTCCTACCAATTTATTCACCTTAAATATTATAAAAACCCATTTACTCTTATAATGAATGCAGTTGCTAATTAAATTCATTAAGGACAATGTGGTTCAGTCCATTTTTATTATTCATGGAGATTCACAATGCCAGGGAAGTACTTTATAAAGATTTTTTAAAACTAAAAGACTGTTGTTTTAGAAGTTACGGTAAAAGTTGTTCAGCAGGACAATATTTTCCAATAGTAAGCAAGCAAGTAAGAATTAAGTATATAGACATAACTGGAATGAGTAGTAAATATAACTGAGCATAATTTGAAGATGGTTAAATAACACAAAGTTTGTGAGTTTTCTTTTTTAAAACTTATTTATCTATTTGTTTATTTGAAAGACAGAGAGAGGAGGAAACAGAGATCTATCACCTGCTGGTTCACTCTCCAAATGCTTTTTTTTTCTTTGCTCTGACAGCCAGGTCTGGGCCAGGCTGAAGCAGAGTGCCAGCTATTCCATCCTGGTGTCCCACAGGTACTCAGGCCATCCTCTGCTACCTTCCCAGATTCATTTGCAGGAAGCTGCATCACAAGCAGAGGAGCTGAGATCCACTCTAATAGATTGCAAGAAGTGGCTTCATCCATTGTGCCACACTGCTAACTCCTATGTTTTCATTCCTTAGCAGTACACAAAATTCATAACTTTTTAAGAAAATTATAAACAACATTCCAAAGAAGTTTGCTCTTACAATGAGAAGCAAAAGATTTCTTGATATTTTTTTAAGTTCAATTTTCAAATATGTTTATATTTCCTAGAAGTCTCTATAGTGAATTTTATTTGAAAAATAAGCCATATTTAAAGGCAGTCAACACTTTCACACAGTTAGTCAAAAGAGGAGTCCTATGTGAAAGATACTGATAAACTATAAACATTCCCATTGAATATTATGTGTTATTTTAAAAATAGTTGCTATGTCTTCAACAATGAAAGCCTTTGTAAAGTAATTTTCATGTATCATAGATTTAGAAGTGACTCTTAAAGGACTACAAAATTTCATTTTTCTTGTTTCTCCGAATTTTACAGCAAAAACCCTTCAATTTTAAATTATTTCATGATTAAAATTTTCAGACTTTAGTTATATGATATTGGATGGTTTACAGCTTTTTGACATAGATAATTATGACTCTATATATATGCAGAAGCTAGTGGCATTGATTATAAATTTAGCCACTTCAGACTTTTCAAAGTAATAAAGGAGGAAATGCTTATTAAGTTTATAATATTTTAATTCTCTTACTAACAAGATTTCCTAGAAAGCATATAATATTTCCTTTCTATTGAAGTTGATACAATATAGTAAAGAATAAAAACTAGACTCTTAACCCAAACCAAAAGTAACTTTCACATCTGTAACCTAAAATACACTACAATTAAAATTCTTCTAAATATTTGTTTTCTGGCAAAACATCTTTAATTTATAGTTCCGCTAAGTCATTTTTTGTGTGTGCTAAACTCAAAGAAAGTTATTTCAATTAAAGGGCACAGAATTTTAAGAATGTTAAAAAAAAACCTGCTTTAGAAGAAAACCTAATTATCTATGAAAATGATCAGTACTTCTAAACTTTATCTTTTTAAAAGATTTATTTATTTATTTGAAAGAGTTACAGAGAGAGATCTTCTAGTCACTGGTTTACTCCCCAGATGGCCACAACAGCCAGGACTGGACCAGACACAATCAGAAGCCAGGAGTTTTCATGTGGTTGCCAATGTGGATATGGGGCCCAAACAATTGGGCCATCTTCCACTGCTTTTCCCAGGCCGTCCAGGAGGGAACTGGATCACAAGTGGAGCAGGGTATTACCAACTGGCACCTTTAAAGGCTTTACCCACTGCACTACTGCGCTACAGCCCTAGGCCCTTCACTTAATACTCTTTCATGTCCCCAATTCCTGATTTCATCTCCCCTGACTGCTCTAGCATGTTGTTGGAGTTTTAAAAGAAGCATGCTTGTTTGAAAGCAGTATTAAATGACTTGGAGCTTTCAAGTCAGAAATAATGTTGGTAACTACTCAATCTCTCAGGTGAGTCAATATCCAAAATAAATGCTAGTATGTCTACTTTGGAATCTCTAGTTGACTATCATGCCCTAAAATCATAGGATAATTATTAGAAAAATATATTGGTACCTAACACTTGTGTATCCTATAAAGAGATGAGTAAAATTCTGTATGTTTGACAGTTAATTGAATTACAATTCAAACTATAAAAGGTTGCAATCTTAGACTTTTACTATTGTTTTGTTTATCCTCTTACACCTAATTATAAACTTAAATAATCATTGTTGTTGTCAAATATATTTTGATTTTTTATTTTGGAATGTCCTTTAGATCTTTCCCTTCATGGCGTTTTAAAATAGTTTCACTAAAATCTTATCACTTTGAAAACTAATTTTGTTACCTTTGTTTCCTTATTAGGAATTTTTTGCCTCTAAGTTCATACTTAATCAGTCATAAGACATGACATCTCTAAAATTTAATGGTGGCATGGACTAGATTTTTCATATTCTGCCCTTAGAACACTTTTAAGTAGTTTTGGAGTACAAGTTGCAAAATGGTGAATATTTTATGTTAACAAAATCCTTCATTTTTAATCCAAAGATTAATGTGACATTGTAAGTGGGAATCTAGACAAAGATAGAAAGTGTTATTTTTTTCTCCTGAAAAAAACATTTATGGCTTAATGTCATGGAAGCCATTGCTATTAATACCACAACATTTAGAAACTATTTTTAAATGAAGTTGCTGAATTGTATAGTCCTCATCATGTGGCATCCAAGTCATTTTTCCTCCATCCAACCATTTTTGGCCCAGTCATTAGTGTAAAATAATTTTTGGCAGTTTTAGTTCCTACTAATCTTTTTTTAAAAGAAAACTACTTTAAAAAAAAAAAACTATTTTCCGTAGTACATTTTTGTGTAGGTATAGGGCTTCATCTCTCCCTCTCCTTCCTCCACACCCCCAATAAAGAACACTACTTGCGATACCTCTCTTCAGTGTAACAATGAGAAACTGAGAGGAACATTGTGATCGTGTGATTTCTTTAAAAATAACTAATCAAGTCTCATGTGATGGGCCCTTGGCTTTAGTGAGCAGATATAAGAAAGGCTTGCAATGTTAATTTCATATTTTGGGAATATATATTTTCAGCATACAATTTTGGCTCACAAATCCATAAAAATGTTTACATATGACAATATATAAAACATTTTCTGTTTGGTGTTAAATGCATCTTCATACTAGTGAACACAACTAACATAATAAGTGCAATTCATTTTTGAATGGCAGTGTATATTGTCAAAAATATTATGTAATTATAATAAATATCTACTGACTCCTTGAACTATGAGTTTTGCACACCTGAGGTTTAATTTTCACATATTTGGACTTCACTGACTTAAGGAATCAGGTCATCAGATTCATTTACATAAGTCTGTTTGGCACAAGGAGAGCTGTGAGTTAAGCATTGTGGCAAATATTGCAGTTTCTATTGATTCTGCAAACCAAAAATAGCAGGTTTGCTAAAAGATGGGAGGAGGGGGAATCCCAGGAATAAACACGTTTGAAGAGTTTAGGTAGATAAAGTGGAGCTCCTTGCCCCAGAAATTATTTTTAAAACTTGCTGTTTCTGATGGAAATATGTGAATGTATTAGTGAGTTCAGATAAGGAAATGATCCAGGTGTCTTAGGGTAGGTTACAGCATTCGGTGCTAGGCTCGTGGTCAGAAGACAAAAATTGGAAGGAGATGAACTCTTATTTCAGAAAGAAATGTTTCTAGTCCACATACTTTAGATTTCCCAGTGAAATATGCAAATAAATACGTCTAAAGTCAAGGTGGCTAAAAATTCATACCTATTTAGCCACTCCTGTTTTGGGGGAGAAGTATAGAGGGTTTTACTTTTAAAAAGGAAGAAAGCCAAACAACTCTGCTGCTAGTGATTGGAGAGGGAAGAGGTTGCCTAGAAGTGAGATGTCTTTTCATTGTCCGTACTGCACGGTGCATTATCCTCAGAGAACCCAGAGCTCTGTAAGTGCCAGGTGGCAATATATGAAGTCAACTGTGTCCATGCCTTACTTTTTCTAAACTTACACTTGGCCTCTCAGTCTCATCTTGGTATTGGTTTTGAAGATGGCAAAGATTCAGTTAAGAAAATAACAAGGGAATAATGTCTAATATAGTGAACTCTGCTAAAAGACAAAAGAGAAAAAATTAAAGTTGCAAAATAATAGAAATCAAAATATTAAGAATTATAATAATATCACAAACTTGACAATTTAAAGATTGTACATGATTCCCAAGGAGGCTTTTTAAATAACTATGTGTGTGTGTCTTCCTCTTTCAAGAGACACCCCAGCTCCCAGCTCTCCTCTGGGAAGCACTTTATCCCTCTTCTGTGTTCACCTGATCGCTTCACAAATAAAACTTCTCTGTCTGCAGCTGATTCCCGGCTTTTTCTTTGTATATTATCCTGAGGAAAGAACCCACCAAGCTTTTCTGGTAATAGAAGAGTGGCTGCAGACAACACAAATCATAGTCATTCATGTTTCCGCATTTTCACCATAGTACGAACCAGTCATCACGAAGATTTAGCATACACGCCTCTATGGACGGGCATCTGGATTGTTTCCATGACTTTGCTATTTTAGATTGTGCTGCTGTAAA